GGACGGTGGAAGGGGTTTTAAAAGACGCTGAAAGTGTACTGTGGGTGGGTGGGTGTGGGGTGTAGGTGTGTGTAAGGTGGATAGGTGGATGTAGGGTGGACAGGTGGGTGTAGGGTGGATAGGTGGGTGTAGGGTGGATAGGTGTGGGATATGGGTGAGGGGGTATTATGGTGGTGAGTCTGTTGTTCATTAGCCAGTCGAGAGCGGGAATTTTCCAATCTGATTATGGACGAGAGATTGTATACCCACACCGTATACCCACACCGTATACCCACACCGTATATCCACACAGTATACCTACACACTATACCTGTACTGTATACCCACACTGTATACCCACATTATATACCCACACAGCATACCCACACTCTAAAGCCAAATAGTAATCAATCTCCATCTCTTCTTCTCTGAGTACAAGGAAGAAGAGAGAGAGAGAGAGAGAGAGAGAGAGAGAGAGAGAGAGAGAGAGAGAGAGAGAGATAAGGTTGAAATGGACAAAATTCTCCTTCAAAACCTTCCTAAGTCTGTTGAATAATGCAGGCTGCTGGGTCCTTCTAGCGCTGTCCTGTTTATGTGTTGGTGGACCACTGGTGGACCACTAGTGTGTTTGTTGGACCCCTGGTGGACCACTAGTATGTTTGTTGGACCCCTGGTGGACCACTGGTTGGTAGACAGAGAGAGAGAGAGATGAGGTAGTGCTGGTGACAAGGAGTGGAGGGGGAGAATGATTGAGAGTGGGAGAGAAGAGACAAAGAATGGACAAGTGTAAAGAAGTAGATGGGGGAAGGGGAGGAGAAGAAGAAGAAGAAGAAGAAGAGAGAGAGAGAGAGAGAGAGAGAGAGAGAGAGAGAGAGAGAGAGAGGACAAGTATATGAAGACAAATTATGTAAATAAAATTGCTTATCACTGAGGTTATAGAATATATTTTTCACGTTCACATTTTCCTATCTTAATATTCACATTATATTTTCTGTAACAAATATAAACAACTTACAAAACACCAAAATTAGTCCTTATGGGGGTAATATCGTGCACCAGGCAACGTATCATTAGGGTAGGAACGCGTTGCCAGGTGTCAGGTTGAAGTTTTCTTACGGCATTGATCGAGGAAGAGTCACTTGTTTAGTGGTGAGTGACGATGAGGGGTCGTCTCTCTCTCTCTCTCTCTATTAAAACAATTGTGTTTTTCTGTAGCCTTAAACACACGATACGTTTCTTTAAAAACACACCTCAAGACTCTCAAAACAAAACAAAGAAGAACTAAGAACAAACAATCAGGTGACAGTTTCCCCTTTCCTCTTGTTTACCCACCACTAAATGACCCATTATGACCTGACCGCTCAATCTTGACCTCACGTGACCTTAGAGCCTCAGATCCATGTTGACCTCTCATAACCTGACCCTCCAAGGATGTCAACAGAGTCAATATCGTTCATCTTTGTTGACCTCACACATCCGGCCTCTCTGGTGACCCATTAAGGTGAGGTGGGTCATTTCGTCTCGGGTTCAAAGGTCAGTTAAGGGTCAAGGTTAGTAAGGTACTTTTACATAGGGGAGTGAGGTAAGAGGGTGAGGTGAGAGAGGTAGATGAAGCACGGGTAGGTGAAGCACAGGTAGATGGAGCACAGATAGATGAAGCACATATAAATAATGCAGCTCATTTCGCTAAGCTTCTCTAAAACGCTTTCAAACTTTACTGAATAATTAGGAACGATAACTGTGCTACGCTTTGACAAAATTAAGAGAGCGATCAGTATTGGGTGATGGAGGGAGGGAGGGAGAGAAGGATGGAGGCAGGGAAGGAGGGAGAGAGGGGAGGAAGGCGGGGGGAGGGGGAGGACGGGTTGCAGACAGTGAAGGAGGGAGGTAGGTAGGAAGGAGGTGGGTAGGTACTGTAGATAGGTAGGTAGGTAGTGAAGGATTAACTCGCAATACAGGACCTAAGTTGCTACTTGTCCTCTGAGTGTAAAACTATCATTTGTTGAGTGTGTGTGTGTGTGTCTGAGGTAGAGAGAAGGAAAGTGTTGGAGGGAGAGAAGAAAGAAACTGGTGACAGTGGCTGAGAGAGGAAGAAAAAAGGGAGAGAGGGAGAATAGGAGGGGTAGGGGGACAGGAGGGAGGGAGTTTTCAAGGGAAACTTTAGAAAATAACCCTAGAAATTTATCATGTATTTTCATTTAGAAGAAACTAGAGAGGGAGGGAGGGAGAGAAGGAGAGAAAAGAACAGGGGTCTGAGAGAGGGAGAGAAGCGGAGTGAGGGAGGGCAGAAAGTGATAACAACAACAACAAAAATAATAATAACGTAAAAAAAACAATTGGCTGCCCTATTCTCTCTTAACGGGACAAAAGGTAAACAAACACATCGGGAAGGTTGGTACTCCTGACCCAGCCACAAAAAACAAACACTTTATGTTATCGATTACTTTCATCTGCTCTTTAAATCCGTGTTACGTAAACGCTAAACTACAACACGTATTTCCAACAGGACATTATGACGTACTGTTGATTGATACATATATGAGTTTGATAAGAATTAATGTGAAATATTAGTTAGTGTTAATACAAGTTGAAGATATTAGGTTAATGATAATGGTAGTGTTTATTCACGTCTTTTCCCGATATTTCACGCTTCCCGTCACTGTTCTTATCTTGGTGCTTTATTTCTCAACTGATAGAGACGACAGGATGTGGTAATATGATATAAGATACAAGTGTTTTTATCTTAGTGCTCCTCCTTCTTATCACCACAATTATTATTATTATCTTTTCCTTCTATTTCTTCTTCGTCTCTTGTTAGGTTAGGTTTGGCTCAGGATAGGGTAGGTTAAGGTAGGTCAGGGTAGGGTAGGTGGAGTTAGGGTAGGTTAAAGGTTCAAGGAATATATACAAAAGTTATACACGACCTGCCCAACACCTTCCTCGAATGAATAAATTCGCAAACCTAATTTTTCATTACCATGGCGCCGTCCCGGGACCTGATATATAAGACGGCATGATAAATTCTATCCGGCCAGAGTAATGCATACATAAGTGGCCAGCCAGCCAGCCAGCCAGCCAGGTACTAGAATGACCAGCCAGCCAGCCAGCCAGCCAGCCAGCCAGGTACTAGAATGACCAGCCAGCCAACAAACTAACCAGACAGACAGACATAGTGTACAGCTTAACAAAGACAAGTGCTTGAGAAATAATTAGGTTATAAGTAAGGTTAGGTTAAGTTAGGTTAGGTTCGGTTAGGTTAGGTTAAGTTAGGTTAGGTTAGGTTAAAGTGTTTAAACATGAGGTAAAATAAGCTGGGACGTCTAATCTTCATCAGGTTTACCAGCAGAGTTGTGTAAGCACTTGGCTTCTAACACTGAACATTTAGGAAAGATAATCCCTCTTGTTAACTTAAGTAGTGTTAACTTAAGCGTCGGATTATACTTAAGAGAGCTTTACTATCTCAGATCTTAAAGTCCCGTTCTCAATAACCTGATCACTACACCACACCTATGACTTTACCTGTACACGTGTTTGTCTTAATTAACAATATTCAACAGGTAAAGTGTGTCTCTAGTCCTTCTTGATATATAGTTAACATTGATTAATCTTTTGAGTACAATGACTTAAACTATCCAAAGAGCATTGTTATTGTACTCAAGGGGTTAAGATATCGTACTCAAGGGGTAAATTTATCGTACTCAAAGAGTTAAGTTGTCGTACTGAAGGAATTAAGTTTTCGTGCTCAAGGGTTAAGTTATCGTACTCACGGGGTTGTTATTGTACTCAAGGGGTAAGGTAGCTTATTGTATTTCTTTTCTTCCTCTCCTTTTTCTTCTTATTTTCCTGTAATTAATGTTTTTTTCCTTTATCGAGTCTCTCTCTCTTCCTAAATTCTCTTCGTATTTATCAAGTCTCTCTTCCTTTATCAAATCTCTTATTCCCCCTTGTACCATCATCACCATCACCCACATTATTCCATTATCAAATTTCATCTTTATTCTTTCCTCTCCCTCTTCCCAAATCCTTCTCCTATTTCCCCTGGTTCCTCTGTTATCAAATCTTTCACTCCCAATTACACCCTAGTCGTCGTCTCTCCTAGTCCCTCCTACGTCATTTTTACTGATTTTCCCTTTTGCAATTTCTCCCCAAGTCATCATTCTCTCTCTCTCTCTCTCTTAAAGAAAAATAGAAAGACAGACAGAGAGAGAGAGAGAGAGAGAGAGAGAGAGGAGATCACACGCACACACGCACACATACACACACACACACACACTATTGAACTTTTATGTGCTAATTAATTATATAAAATGGTGAAATAAATTAAATATGATCTCCAGCTCCATGTTAAATCCCCGATTAATTAAACTTAACAATTAACGTTGATTAGGTTGAGAAATATGTCCATAAAATAATTATTTATTGTAGTTTGTTTATATATTGTATTATTATTTTTATATTGATTCAATATATATATGTATAATGTATGCTGTATATGTATAATGTACACACACACACACACACACACACACACACACACACACACACATACACACACACACACACACACACACACACACACACCACACAACACACACGTCCATATATATATACTCTTCTCCCCTCCCCATACCCTATCCACCCCTCCCCCAGGCACCAGCTTCTCACTTGTGTATGCATTAGCTTACAAACATAGTATTTCTCACATGAAATAACATTATCAGCCACCAGACGCAAAGACTTCGTAAACGTGGATGTTTATTTTCGTAACGTAACCTAACCCTTATGACCTCTTTATTGAGGAGGTCATAAGGGTTAGGTTACGTGACGTTACGTTACGTTAGGGTATGAATCATATTTTCTCGGAACGTCCTGATGAGAGAGAGAGAGAGAGAGAGAGAGAGAGAGAGAGAAAGAGAGAGAGGAAGGGAGGACGGTATCCTGTGTGTGTGTTATCAGAACAATTTAAACGCCACAGTAGGATTGCCTGACTCAGTACGCGTCTTGTGTCTCTCAAAAGTAAGATGGAGTGGCGACGACTCCTGTGTGTGTTTGTGGCCCTGGAGACGACCATCCTCTCCCCAGGGGCGTCTTACTCGTCTCCTACGTCGCCACCACAGCTCTCCTCACCCTCTACGTCTCCACCACAGCTCTCCTCACCCTCCACGTCTCCACCACAGCTCTCGTCACCTTCCACGTCTCCACCACAGCTCTCGTCATCTTCCACGTCTCCACCACAGCTCTCCTCACCCTCCACGTCTCCACCACAGCTTTCCTCACCCTCCACGTCGCCACCACAGCTCTCCTCACCCTCCACGTCGCCACCACAGCTCTCGCTACCCTCCACGTCTCCACCACAGCTCTCGTCAGCTCTCAACACCAACACGTCTCTGGCCTCCTCCTCGTCACACTCCCACAAAGGTGATTCAGCTTCCTCCCTCACGACGCTCCCGCCGGTTGTTAACACCGGAGACCTACAACTACCAAGTAACGACCAGGTGGTAGAGAGGCAGTGGTCATTGGTTCCTAAGATAGAGAGAGTCACGTCACACAAGCCTCCCGTCACAAGCCTCCCGCTGCTCAGGAGGAAAAAAAGTGTTTGTTCTTACGATGTTACGGTCAAGTCTCGGGAGGTAAAGAAAGTCCATGAAATAACTGGTGAAGGAAAATATATGACTCTCTACTTCGTTCCCGGGAGAGACTTTGAGTATATCAGCATAACGTTAAGCCTTACTTTTTTTTCAAATTCTCTGGTACCTGCAGCAACAGCTGCTGCAACTTATCATTTTGGTAGTGCTGTCGATCTGTCGTAATGGACCTACGAATCTCGTTTACTTCACTGGTATCCTTCTAACTACTATTACTACTATTACTATGAGAGACATGGTGTATAAGCATTTAAAATTGCGATTGATAAATGTTCAAAGTCATTATTTATTGACTGAACTTGTTATATTGAACAAAACTGAACAAATTTAAACTATATGAACATATTAGGATAAACTGACAAGTGAGTAAATCGAATATTATCTTTCTTAAATTAGATTACAGGTAACAATATGCAGGGCGTCGTGACGGAACACACACACACACAGCCCATCCTAGGAAACACAAGCTCCTCACGTTCAAGGGGAGACTCGTGTCCTAGGAATAAATCTGTGGGTTTATTCCCTTTACTCAGACGACCTGTGATGTATTCCTCACCTGGTCACCAGGATCACTGTCTCATGTGTGAGTCATATAGGGAGCGTACCATAAGTGTACCATCAGTGTACCTAACTGGCAGTGTACCATCAGTGTACCACGAGTATACCTTACTGGCAGTGTACCATCAGTGTACCTTACTGGCAGTGTACCACGAGTATACCTTACTGGCAGTGTACCATCAGTGTACCTTACTGGCAGTGTACCATCAGTGTACTGCGCGTGTACCACGAGTATCGCCTTACAGCGTTATTGCCATCCAGTGTACCTAACTGGCAGTGTACCATCCAGTGTACCTTACTGGCAGTGTACCATCGGTGTACCTAACTGGCAGTGTACCACGAGTATACCTTACTGGCAGTGTACCATCAGTGTACCTAACTGGCAGTGTACCACGAGTACTCACCTTACTGGCGGTGTACCATCAGTGTACCTTACTGGCGGTGTACCACGGTATACCTTACTGGCAGTGTGCCATCGGTGTGCCTAACTGGCGGTGTACCATCAGTGTACCTTACTGGCGGTGTGCCATCAGTGTACCTTACTGGCGGTGTACCACGAAGTATACCTTACTGGCAGTGTACCATCAGTGTACCTTACTGGCGTGTACCACAGTATACCTTACTGGCAGTGTACCATCAGTGTACCTTACTGGCAGTGTACCACGAGTATACCTTACTGGCAGTGTACCATCAGTGTACCTAACTGGCAGTGTACCACGAGTATACCTTACTGGCAGTGTACCATCAGTGTACCTAACTGGCAGTGTACCACGAGTATACCTTACTGGCAGTGTACCATCAGTGTACCTTACTGGCAGTGTACCACGAGTATACCTTACTGGCAGTGTACCATCAGTGTACCTTACTGGCAGTGTATACGTACCATGAACGAGGTCGTTGACGAACGGTGCGTAGAGGAAAAGAGTTAAAAATGATAGTAAGAGAGAAAGGAAATAATGGGTTGCGTGTTTAAGAAATATTTAACAGACATCTATGGGCTGTCAGGGGCACTTAACAGACGTCTGTGGCTGCCTCACAACAGCCAGGGCCAGGAGGCGACAGTTCAACCCTCGTCCCTGATTGGCTATTTCCGCCGCGTCGCGCGAGATGTGGTGACGAGAACCAGCCATTTGTACCGGCCTCCAGCTGCTGCGAGGCCACCCTGTGAAGCCACACTGTGAGGCCACCCTGTGAGGCCACCCTGTGAAGCCACCTTGTGAGGCTACCCTGTGAGGCCACCCTGTGAGGCCGCTCTCTAAGGCCATCCTGTGAGGCCGCCCTATAAGGCCATCCTGTGAGGCTACCCTGTGAGGCCATCCTGTGAGGCCACCTTGTGAGGCCGCCCTGCGAGGCCGCCCTCTAAGGCCATCCTGTGAGGCCACCCTGTGAGGCCGCCCTATAAGGCCATCCTGTGAGGCTACCCTGTGAGGCCATCCTGTGAGGCCATCCTGTGAGGCCACCTTGTGAGGCCGCCCTGCGAGGCCGCCCTCTAAGGCCATCCTGTGAGGCTACCCTGTGAGGCCATCCTGTGAGGCCATCCTGTGAGGCGAGGTCTTCCCCACCTACCCAGGTTCTCAGACAATAGGATTTACTCTTCCTAAAGTGAGTTAAATTCTTACCATAATGGATCAAGGTGGTGAGATGCCTCTCTCTCTCTCTCTCTCTCTCTCTCTCTCTGTGGTGGGAGGGCAAAAAGGGTGGTGAGAGGATGGAAGAAATTGGCGTGAGAGGTATTTTGGTAGAGTGAAAGGTTGGGAGATGATGGGAGGGTGTGAGAGAGTGGAAAGTGATGGAGAAGGAAGGGAGGAAGAGTGTGTTGGTGTAGTAGTAGTAGGAGTGTGTTGTACTTAACCCCAGTCACAATACAGTATACATAATGACCCCTGAGCTACATACTAGAACGAACCTTAAAGAAAAAAAAACGATGATAAAAGAGGCGACATAACGGAGTGTTGTTTGTCCCTCTATAAGTCCTTAATTTATGCTCTAAGTCCTTAAAGCTTCATTCAGAGACCAGGGATGATCATAAACTTGTCTTGGCGGCTTCATAACCAACAGATCACACACACACACACACACACACTTGGGATAAGTTTTTGCTGCCCTCATTGTAGGTTTACTTAAGTTACAGCTGATATTCTCTTACGTTTTCTTCCTCTGAGCTATATTTTCTTTCTCTCATTCCCGTTTTCTTCTTTTGAGCTGTGTTTTCTTTTTCTCATCTCCGTTTTCTCCCATGTTCTCGAGTTTCTTTTGCTTTCTGTACATGTCCGTATTTTCTGTCTCTCTTAAAAACGACAGAGAGAGACAAAGATGGTAAGACACAAGCAAGGAGAACGACAAAGAGACAGATATGTGAGGAAATTACCCGCAGTTCCAGTATAAAAATCCGGGTTCGGTTCCGGGTTCAGGGTTCGGGTCCAAATTTGGGTCAGGTTGCAGACAGCGTTCTTTAATAAAATCGATGAGACGAGAGAGAGTGTGTGTGTGTGTGTGTGTGTGTGTATGTGTGTGTGTGCGTGAGGTCTTCATGACACTCCTGCACAGTCATCAACCACCTAATGGCTCTATTTGTCTGTCCTGACATTTTTTCCTCTCCTTTTCATTCTTTTTTCCTGTTTGTCATATACATAATATCGTGTACCCTTAGCTAACACACATATACATAATACAACATGCAGTGTATATCGTGTACCCTTAGCTAACACACATATACATAATACAACATGCAGTGTATATCGTGTACCCTTAGCTAACACACATATACATAATACAACATGCAGTGTATATCGTGTACCCTTAGCTAACACACATATACATAATACATGCAGTGTATATCGTGTACTCTTAGCTAACACACATATACATAATACAACATGCAGTGTATATCGTGTACCCTTAGCTAACACACATATACATAATACAACATGCAGTGTATATCGTGTACTTATAGCTACCTAATATGCAGTAGTGTTATTAACAGAAGTTCTACTGAGGAGGGTCTTCGTGTTACACCAATACACTGTGATTCATTGCCCCTGACTGACTCTTGCTGTGATGCTAATAAAGGGGACGGAGGGAGCGAGCGAGAGAGAGAGATTGTGTGTGTGTGTGTGTGTGTGTGTGTGATAGGCTTCTCTATTAATCAAGTAGATAACGCAACATCTCCGACCGGGTCAAGGCCACCACATCTAATTTTTTGGTGCTCGGCCAGAAATTCCACCTTCTAGCCATATTTTTCTTTCTTCAATCGATAAAATGGGAAACACTAAACAGAGACAGCCGAGCATTATAGACAAGGCAGCACCCCCACCCGACTCCAGGCCAACACACGAAATAGCTGTCAATTCTGGAGTTGGTCCCAAGACGTGATGCTTTACCCCTAAAGTCTCAGGCCACCACGGGGAATTTTTGATGCCACGCCAGAAAACTCTTCCCATCACACATTCTTCATAGCCTTTTGGTATTGCACTATAAATCTACACTTTCTATGCACTTCAATGTTTATATACAATCTACGCCCCTTATAAGGCACATAGACTGGCAGCCTCGAAATTCCTAATCAGAACACACACACACACACGAGCGCGCGCGCTCGCGTAGATCATTAATAAACTCTTTCATAAAACATTAAAGATTTCACCTTCAAACTCTTACATGCTTATTGCTTTAATATTTCAGAGATGCAAAGTAAGAATTAAACCTCATTCACGGTAAGAATCTTTTAAAGAGTTTGACCTCTGACCTCCACGTGAATTATAAACTCCTTCCCTCACTCACCTCTCCTCACTCACCTCTCCTCACTCACCTCCCCTCCTCACCTCTCCTCATTCACCTAGAGTCCCAAGTTCAGAAAAAACTATAATCCCAAGTTCGTAAATAAACATAGAATCTCAAGTTCGAATGCTCCAGTAGTACCTCTCGTATAGTCATATATTTCGCCCGGCCTCATAAGGGGTACACAGCACTGCGCCATGTTGTAAACATTACTCCATTTTTTAATATTAAGTCTCAATATCCTCCCTGTATAGTCTTGTGGGTGGAGAAGGTGGAGGGTGGGTGGAGGAAGGGTTGAGAGAGGGTGAGAGGGTGGCTAGGCAAGCGGGGTTGCAATGTTACGGTGAGGATGACAACAATACTCAATGTTGAAGAAATTACCACGAACGGATTACAGTAAGGTTTAGTTTAGTTTAGGTATCTTCAAGCAACCAACTGTGTGTGTGTGTGTGTGGTGTGTGTGTGTGTGTGTGTGTGTGTGTGTGTGTGTGTGTGTGTGTGTGT